GCAGGCCCCCTCGCCTCCCCAGCTTTGCTCCAGGTTTCCCTGGTCTGCTGAAGACGGTCCCCAGCAGACCAGAGGCACTGGGAGCAGAGCGGCAGCGGCGGCGGAGTCCCGCACCTCCCCGGCTTTGCCAGAGCAAAGCCTCAGAGGCGCGGGACCCCTCCGCCTCCCTGGCTTTGCTCCAGGTGTCCCTGGTCTGCTGGAGACGGTCCCCAGCAGACCAGGGGCACCCGGAGCAGCTTTTCTCGCCTCGGAGGTCGAGGTGGCGGGACCACTGCGCTCTGGGCGGTCCCGCTGCCTGCGAGCTCCGGGGCGAGAAAACCCCGTTCGTAAGTGCGGATCCGACATAAGTCAGATCCGCGTAACTCGGGGACTGCCTGTATAAAAGTTACCAAGCCAGAGGCTCAGATGGTGTAAACAGAATTCAGTGGTTTTAAACCAATTGAAAATTTGGCCCACTTTACAGAGGTCAGATTACTTTTTTGGCCATCAATTTCACTATGAATTAGAAGGATATTGATGCCTTACTGTGCTCTTACCAGTTGGATATTTGCACACAGTGTAATTCTGTAGTATCCATTTCACAGATATAATGCTTCCCTTCTTGAAGAAGGCAGGATTATGCGCAAACTAAGTCACGATCGTGTGGTGAAATTACTAGGCATCATTCTGGAAGATGGGAACTACTCTCTGGTGATGGAGTATGTGCACAAGGGAAACTTGATGAAAGTACTAAAAACAGTGAGTAGTGAACTGAATAATCTCTCACGCATGGACTCATCAGCTATTATTGCAGGAAGTTAATATTTCTGAGTATCTTTAAAAATCACTTAAAAGATATAGTGGTTTTTCAGGGCTTTTTAGAGCTTTTACTCTGCTTTTATTTGGCAGAAAATAATCAGTAAACTTTGGCTTAGGAGGGTTATGGGTGAAATCATGGGTGGCCGATATGATAGGTGGGGGAAGGCACAGTCTTTCCAAACCGCCAGCCTACCCCTGCCCACACTCCAACCCCAGAACGCTTGCTGTAGGTGTTCTGGGGACAGAGTGTTGCTGCCCCCAATGCCTGTCCCAATGCTCCGGGGCTGGGGAGGCTGGAACCATGAGCCTTCCCCCCTCCCTGTGCTCTGGAGCTGGGGAGGCTGGAGCGACCTGCTCCTTGACCTCCCCATGCTCTGCCAGGGAGACCTGGATGCTCCTGCACGCCCTCCCACCCGCCTTCCTTCCCTCCCCATGGTAGTGGGGTGTGTGTGTACATACAGCTTGACTCCGATGGGGATGGGCCTCGGCAGAAGAGGCGTGACTGAGGGCTTACCTCCCCCAGCCCTATGTTCACCAACTGTCTATGGGTGAAATGTTGTTTATACATTATTCATAAGGGGAAGTGAAAGCAAACGTTCCAGTCAGGGTTGGTAAGAAGTTTGAAAAGGGACAAGGAAATATCTGCATATAGTGTTGCCAGGTGTCCGGTATTGACCCGGACAGTCAGGTATTTTCACCTCCTGTCTGGTAAAAAAATTCAGAAAATGCCGGACACCTGGCAAGCCTACAACACACTCAGCAACTGGGCCCAGCCCCCGGACCCGCCGCCAGGCCCCCCGGACACCCTCCCAGCCCCCCACTTACTTGGTTCCAAAAGGGCTTGTCTTGTGGCTGGAGCAGAAAAACAAGATGGCCACTGGCAAAAAAGCCTCTTCTTAAAGTGGCCATGCTGATTTTTTTTTCTTAAAAACTGCTGGGGAGGAGGGGAGGGTTCTCATCAACTTTGGTCTCCCCCTTCTTTTTTTCTCATCAGAAACTTTTTTCCCTGTGTTTTTTTTGGGGGGGGGGAAGGGGTTGGTATTTTTGGTTAAACCATTTGGCAACCCTATCTGCATATGCAGAATCCCTTTTGTCCTGCTTGAGGCACAAATGGAACCTCTCCCTCTATAGTTACAGCTGATTCTAAAAGCAGCAGAACTGCTATGGTACTGCACATGGTGTGGGGGAAGCGATAGGCCATTGAAAGGTTATTTATGTCTGGTTAGGACAGTGTTTCTTAAACTTTTTAAGACCAAGGAACACCAAACAGTTTTTTTTTATGAGGAGCACCAAGAATTTTTTGAGTAAAACCAATACAAATTTTAAAAAAAGGTTGGGGGAAAGTTGAGGAAAAAAACCCTGCGGTATATCTCCTTTAATTTATACTATGAGCCAGTAGGGCAGTATTTAACCCATAGTAAGTTACCGAGGAGTAACGGTAGTTCGGAATAGGAAGCCTAATCCGAACTACCTAGTTTGTGCTGCGTGTAGCCGCGGGGCACGGAGTCCGAACTAGCGGACATTTAAAAATGGCGGCTCCCGGCAATATGCAAATGAAGCCCGGAAAATTCAAATCCCGGGCTACCACCCTAGTTCGAACTAGGGTGGTAGCGTATACATACCCTGAGAGTTGTGTGGAGAGCTGCTGAGGAGTAATCATAGATAGCCTGTGTCTGATCTTAGTTCCACCCGTGTAAATGTGGAATCATTCCAGATTTACTCTGGTACAACTGAGTGGAATCTAGCTACAGGAAGGATTTCAATGATTTTTAATTCGTAGCTTTAGCAAAGGTGTTGTGGGAACCAGAGAGAAGGAATATTATAATGGCCCTTTGTTTCATTTAATGATGTATTATTCAGTAGTTTTAATAATTTGTATTTTCTTTTCTTCATTGTAGTCCACTATTCCCTTGTCCGTGAAAGGGCGGTTTATCCTAGAGATCATTGAAGGAATGCTTTATTTAAACGAGCAGGGATTGGTACACAAAGACCTGAAGCCAGAAAACATCCTGGTAGATGATGACTTTCACATTAAGGTACTGATAGAATTTAATTACAGAACTCTTGTGATTTGGGCTATAGAGTGAAGCTCCTCCCATGTAGGTGGGGGTTTACACCAGGGAATAATAAACTAGTAGTCCAGTACGCTGATAAAAAAAATCAAAACTTTAGTGACCCATCTTTAAAATGTAGTGGCCCACCAATAGGCTAATTCTTCAATATTCATTATCTGTCTATGCCAAAAGTACATGGGATGGAAAGTAGAGAGAAAATACTGGCTTTTCTCACTTGATTATTTATTCCTTAATTTACTTACTGATTTTAGACAAACTTCAACAAAAACAACTTGAGACAAAACAGAAATACCAGAATATCACATCAAACTGCTTTATGACAAAGCTCACACATTTGCTTCTGTCTCACCTGTGTTTTCTCTTCTTGCCCTATCCCTCTTCCTGCACTTTC